GGGGGGCGCAAGGCAGTTCAAAGGCTTTGCCTTGCTGGCGGTTCTGACCCCCTCTTGGAGCAAGCCTGGCGGTTCAAAGGCAGAACGGCTGATTTTAATTTGCCAAGGTGACTTGAACCTCCCCCAAGGTGAACCACTCGTGGTCGGAAACCGGGCGCCACTCGCAGGAAACCCACCACCCAGTCAGACAGTCGAACCGCCATCGCTTTTCACACGAGCAGCTGAGGTGCATATGAGGCAAGGCTGGGCTCTCTTACGGAGTCTCACGTTCCTGGTTTTGATCGGGTGATCTTTGAAACGTCCCGGCCTTTTTGAGTGAAAATAGTGAGACCCGGAAAACTGGCGAAGATGTGTTTGAGATCTTTCTTGGATGTTTTTCCCCGGCTGGACTTTGGCAAAGACTCCCCTTTGTCTTTGCCTCGCCTTCGCGAGTTGGGACAGCAGTGGACTGGTTTGGCTGATGTGATTTGTGGAGTGAATTCGTTGGGACTGGTCGACTGGTGCGAAGCTCTTTGTGTTGTTCATGAAGTTCGCAAAAGGGGCCGGGGGCGTGTTTCAAAGCAGACCCAAAGACTGACTGGGGATGGAAATCTTCTGTCAGGAGACCTGCAGTAGCCGAGAAGGAATCCGAGTGGTTGCAAGCAAGGACGTTTAGTGAGTATAGTGATATCATATAATATCCATTAATATCCCATTGCCACTCACAGTCGGTAGTACGGACGATCACACTAGGACCGTCATCATCCACAGGGGCCCTGGGATGCCCTGGGATATACCCAAGATAGTACCCTACGTATACCCTAGAAGTCCAAAGACTATATTTTGACTGGCTGGAGTAAAGGAAGTTCCCTTTCAGGTCCCCTAAAGACCATTTTTTTATAGTCTTTGACTCCCAGGGTATAGCTAAGGATTGCAACAAGGACCGACCCAGAGGAAGCTCCCCTCTTGGAGGGCCGAGTGACCGCTGAGACCGCTCTGGGATCGCTGAGACCGCTCTCGTCTCTTTGGCGGGTTTCAGATCGCAACTGCCCTTGGTGTAGTACTGTAACGGTTAGTGTACCCTAATAGTCCAAATGACTCATGTTACTCCTATAGTAGTGGTGGATTATGACTACCAGGTGGAGTAAAATGAGTCATTGGAAGTCCTGGGGTAACGAAGCAAGTGGGCAACGGTCTTTTGACTTGATGTTCCTCTAGCGGTGGGGATACCTCTTTTGACTTGACACTTTAAGCAGCTGCACACCCGGCACAAGTGCATTCCTGGACGCATCCTCGCATCCTCCCCAAAAAAAGATCACGCCTTTTAACATCTGATAATACCACATATACACGGAGGATACCTCTTTGTGAGTGCAAGCCAGGTACCTGACCCTGTTGCCACAGTTTCATCAAATCTCTTAAATTCAACCACCAAAAGCAGAATGACAAACTGATCGCAAAAAGCGCACCAAGTTGCATGTAGCGCGCGTATTTGTTGTCAGCACTATGGCTGGTGGATCGACTCCAACTTCACAAGCACTGGAGGCACTTGGCAGGGGTAGGGCGTGAGAGCATTTGTCAATCGAGGGGGGGACAGTGGTTTCAGAGTAGATGGCACAACCCCCACATGTTTTTAAGATGGCGGGCAGGGTAGATGGCACAATCCCCAGGTTTGGTGGTTTATATGGTCCCCCATCCAAAACAGAACATGTAGGAGGGTTGTGCCATCTACTCTGAAATGGCTGTAAGGAGAATAAACCAGCCAATATCTTGTCATTTGATTGTTGTTTTTCCAAATTGGAACGAGGTCTTCGTGTTTG